GTTTGCCCCGCCCCTGGCTCCTCCCTTCTCCCCGCCTCCTAGTCCTTCCTTCGCTCTAACTTCACCTTGGGCTCAGGCTTCGCCTGAACTCCTACTCCGTGCTTAATCTCACCCGTTCCTGCCCCAGGGCCCTGCCCCTCCTCCCTCAGCCCCTCAGCTCAACTACCGCCACCCAAATCTACAGAAACAGATTTTTTAACCATGAATCAGAAGATGCTGAAGCCGCATAGAACAGCTCCCGCCTCCGTGACTGACGAGATGCTACAGCGGGTGAGGGAGGGGGGAGGGGTATCTCCCTGACCGGTAACCCCCCAAAGCAGTGTAGTTTTGTCCCAGGATGATAACGCCGTGACCTCAGGCCCAGAATTAGTGTCAAGTTCGTTCAGGGTCACTCTACGGTGACCCCAGGCACAGGGTCATCTTAATGTCACTCCAGCCTCAAGGTCATCCCTAGCTCATCTCCAAGGTCATTTCAGGGTCAGCTCAAGGACATCTTTATATCACCAGCCACAGGTATACCCTCAGCTGAGGGGTAGCTCAGAGTTGCCTAAGGTCACCACAGCCCTGGGGTCATTCCAGGGGTCCCCCGGTTTCTCTCCAGCTTCCCATCCAGCTCCTGGGGCAGCCCAAACTGGGACACCTTTTGCCTACCTCCTCAGAGCCCAATCATCAGCCTTTGCTGCTCCCAGGGTCATATGGGGACCACGGGGTGGGCCAGGTAGGTCAACCACCCTTCAGGCTGTCCTGCCAGGCTCCCGCCCTGACTCCACAGTGCAAGTATAACCACATTGAGCCCCCGCTGGGTGGACAGCGCTTCTTCTCAACCCAATACGAGGATGAGTTTGCCTTCAAGTTCCAGGGCCCAGCGGTGCTGAGATCGGCCAACCTCCAGGACAGCCATGTGCCTCTGGGCTCCCCCCGCCAGTGGGTCTGTGGGGCTGGGAAGGTAGACTCTCAGACCCCCCAGCCCCCTACTTATCCATGCCCTAGCCAGCAATAAACACTGCCTTGGCAACATCTCACCCCTCCTCATCAGTCAGCCATGAAAGATGATGCTTGGTGGGATGGAGACTGTACAGGAGAGAGTGACTCCATCAAAAAAAAAAAAAAAAAAAAAACCAAAAACCTTAACACACACTTCCATGGGCCCTGAAGGTCACCCCACTCTGGGCAGGGAGGCCACTCTAGCTCGTACAAGGGCTTGGCAGTTGGACTCAGTGTAAGGTGTCAGGTGCACCACCAAATCTGAATGATGTGGAGAGAGTGGAGTCAATGTTGAACCGGGCACTGAGGTGAAGTGTTGAGAACCTAGGCTCCCAGGGCTGAATGGACAGGCTCCAAATCTTAACTCTTCTGTCCTGGATAGTAGTCTTGGGCAGGTCACTTCATCCCTGTGAGCCTCATCTGTTTGCTCATCTGTAATGCGGAGATGCAGGGCAGTCCTCTCGTTAGAATGTTATAAATGAGAAATGTGCACACATGTCCATGCGTGTGGCTGAGGGTCAAGGAGGGAGAGCACTTCCCTTCTGAGCATGAAGGTGACGAGGAAAGAGGAAGATGAGGGTAAGGGAAGGAGCTTTCAATCGTTGAGAGGCTGGGTGGGGCCCAGAGGAGGGACAATGAAGGGGTGGAGAAGCTGAGAGTGGCCCAGCGATTTTCTCCATTGTGGTTCACCCACAATGCCCTGGTTGGCTGGGCAATTGGCCCCCAGGTCAGAGCTGGGTCTGGGGACAAACGAACGAAAACCATCAGGATATGATCAAGTTCAAGGGGGTAGATGTCCAGCCAGGGACAAAATGAAGAGGGTGGAAAGGAGGAGGCTGGGGTGGAGCCCTGAAGCCAGTCCTTGACAGGGCTTGACAAGCAGGTCAACAAATGGTACCTTGGACAGCGCCCCCATCTTGAAGGTCTCGGGTGTGGTGAGATTGCTCTGTCTGGAAAAAAAATGGGCGTTGGTGGCCATGCCCAGGGCCTGCTTCAGTGGGCTGCCGACAATCTGGTTTTGGGGAATGAACATGGCTCCCTGACTCCATAGTCAGACCTTCAAAGACCAAGGCCTCCCATCCAACGAGCCACTGAGAGCCAACCTCAAGCCCAACCAGGAGCCCTCTCCCCATGGGCAGCAATCCTGTGAGGCCAGGTTGTCATTTACACAGGAAGGGCAGGAGTCCAGCTTTGGGCCCTACAGAATAAGATGGCCCTTTTGGCTGCACTCATATTAGCCATGCAAGGATCTGCTAGCTGCAAAACACCTCTTCTTGCTTTCACTAAAGATGTACATGACACATTTGTGAATTACCTCCTGATGAACCAGGATTTCTCAAACCCAGTACTATTGACATTTTGGATGGGATCATTTTTTATTGTTAGAGGCCCTCTTGTGCATCATAGGATGTTTAGCATCATCCTTGACCTCTACCCGCTAAGGGCCAGCAGCATTCTGCCTCTACCCCAGCCAGTTGTGACAACCAAAAATATCTCCGGGCATTGCCAAATGTCCCCTGTGGGGAAGAGTTGTCTTGGTTGACAACCACTGCAATAAACCCAGCCTACAAAGATCCCCAGGACAAAATCAGGCTCTCCTGATGAAGCTGGTCTGTTTGTTGACAAGACTACTCTTTTTTTTTTTTTTTTTTTTTGACTACTCTTAACAAAAAGGCTATTCCTTTTTGCCTTGCCTGCCAGGAAGCTGAGAGAGAAAGCTTACTTTGGTATTCCTTTCCATGTAGCTCTGGTTGCAGGATTATCTGTGCTCCCTCCTGGTTCTAGGAGTGGTTTGAAGCAACAACCCAGACACCAGATGAAACATAATGGGTAGGAGTTACAAGGAGGCAGATTTCTGCACAAATTGAAGCATTTTCTAACAATGGAATTGACTAGCCCTGGGATGGGTTGCTGGGAAAGAATGAGAACTCCACTAGAAATATTTTCAGTGCATGAAGAAAGATACTTCATCATGATTTGGGATGTATTTTATGGATTTATGGCTACCCTTCCTGTATTCCACTCACCCCTTCTCACCAACAAAAAAGGCATTTCATATTAACTACAGAAACCCAAAAGGCTGATAAAATAATATGAATAACATAGGATTGCACCTGGGAGAACAGATTAATTTTTTTTTTGAGAACATTATTTTTTAAAGAAAAACATTTCATCACCGAGCAGCAGAATTCAGACCTGCCACTTACCTGCCTGTCTGTCCTTGGGCAAGTGATGGTGTGCTCTGATCCTCACTTCATTTGTAAAATGGGATGGCACTTAATTCTTCCTTCCTAGAATGGGTACAAGGTTGACACGAAATGTGCACGTACCATTCTTAGACTAGGTTGCAGCTGCACAGGTGCCCATATTTTTTTAACATCTTAGGTCATTTTTGTTGCAAGTGACAGAAACCCAGCTTGCTCCAGTTGAAGAAGAAAGGGATTTTACTGAGGTTGTTAAAAAGAAAGCCACAGGCTCCAAACAGTGTTACTGGGGCCAGGCTAAAGCACCAAACCGGGGCTTAATACCTAACCTAATTGCAGTTTCAACCTCCTCCAGAAATGTAAATTTTAATCTATCGATCAGTAATTTTCTTTTTTTATAAATTTTTTAAATATCTATTTTTGAGAGATAGCGTGTGAGCAGGGGAGGGGGGGAGGGGGAGAGAGAGAGAGAGAGAGAGAGAGAATCCAAAGCAGGTTCCAGGCTCTGAACTGTCAGCACAGAGCCTGACGCGGGGCTCGAACTCAGCAACCATGAGATCATGACTTGAGCTGAAGTTGGACGCTTAACCGACTGAGCCACCCAGGCGCCCCCTATCAGTAACTTTCTGATATGTACCAATAAGGTCATCTGTCACAGAGGCCTTCCCCATCCCCCAACGGAAGGTAATGAGGTAATCTACCCAATAAGATCCACTGCCTTCCCCTAAGGGAAAGTGACTTTGCCTGGGACAACACTTTTTCTTTTGCTTATAACTCTCTTGCCCTGCCCTCCTTCCTAGAAATACCTTCTATTTTGCACAATTCCTCATAATGCCCCCTACGCGTTACAAGGGATGCTGCCCCATTCATGAGTCATTTAATAAAACCAATTAGATCTTCAAATTTCTTTGGTTGAATTTTGTTTTTCACAACTTAGAAATAAAATGCGGAATTAGGTCTCACGTGACTATCAGGACTGTTCTCCCTCGCCAGTTCTCAGTCCTGTATCCCTGCAAGTGGTGGCTTGGAACCATTGGGTTCCAAGGACGCTATAAAAAGATGCTATGATCCAAATCCTTTTGATTAAAGCCTCAAAGAAAGAGGGAGGGGTCTTGCCCCCAACTTCTCTTAGTGGAACTTAAGGGACACGCTGATTGGCGCATTTGAGTCACATGCCTAGCCGTGAGCCAATCACTGTGCCCAGAGGGATAGAATGCTATGATTGGATGGCCGGTCCACTAGCCCACCCCCTGGGTGATTTGGTTCCCCAAAGCTCACCAGGATCTTTGAGCCCGGAGACCAACCTTTCTGGACCTTGTTTCCTAGCAACAGACCTGTGCCTGCCATCCCCTTAGCATCTATTTTGCTCCAGGTTACAATCCGGAGGGTGGAAAGTCAGCTAATAGGCTCCTCCCAACGGAGAATAATTGTACGTTTATAGACTGGGAGTGTTCGGTGTTAGAGAGTAGCCTGAGGCATCTAATGCGCCCTGGTTCTCCGAGAGTCCCAATCTTATCTCCCACCTCATTACTAACTTCCTCTTCTAGTTTGGGGCAGAGAATTCAGCCCTGGCAATCACAAAATCAAGCAGACGCTAGTCTCTCCTTCAAGAAGTCCACAGAGGCAGCTTGCGTCTGTCGAAGGAGACCTTTCTGAAGACCTTATGAAGGCTCTCACGTATTTCAACATCCACCATGTTTTTCTCCAAAGACCCTCAAACCACAGTCTCAAGAGACGCGTGTTTAGAGTCCTGAGATAAAATAGGCAGGGTTTTAAGAAGCTATTTTTCTTCCACATAACAGAGATTTCTTGTTTCTCGAGGAAGGCCCTTCTCAGGGCAGATTGTGCACTGTATAAATCTAGGGAGTGCCCTTCACTTTAAAGTGAATACGTATGTGTACACGGTGGCCCCGGCCCTCTACCTCAACGTTGCTCAGCCAATCCCACGTTTGAAGTCATTTCCCTCAATATCCTTCCCTTTCCAGGTACTAATTCTAAATAAGTTAAGACTATCATGGATTCAAGGGACAGAATAGGGATTCAAGGGACAAAACTATCCCAACTGTCTGGGAAATTTGTTGGCTCGTGGTAATGGAAAGGATCAGGGCATCTGGCTTCAGGTATGGCTCTATCCAGGAGCTCAACCAATATTGACAGAACTGTCTCTCCGACTTTCACCTGTACATCCTGGTGTAGACTGGCTTCAGTCTGCAGACTGTTCTTCCAGACAACTGCACAAGGTGGCTGTGGGTAAGATGAGGTCCTACATACAGCTGACGATCCCAGAGAAAGAATGAGACCTTCCAATGTCATGTCCTCAGACCTACTTATTGTGGCCAGGGGATGGAGTTGTCTGATTGGTAAGCTTAGATCGAAAATTACTGGGGGGGGGGGGGGGGGCTGTGTTAGTTGGAGTAGTGGGGA